GGTTACCGTGCCCGTGTGCTGCTGGCAGCCGGGCACACGGTGTCCCAGGGCGGGGGCTGCCCTCCCTGTCTGCCTTCGAGCTGCCGTCATCTGAATTATCATGTGTTTCTGGGTCAGACAGCCAAAACGGCCTCTGCAGCCCTTGGGGAGGGGCAGCTGAGCCCCCTGATCTGGGCTGAGTCACCAGGAAATGCCCAAGGGATGGAAATTCCCCTCCTGTCCCATACCTCAGCCTCCTGCCTGTGACACTGGGGATGGCTGCCAGCCTGGCTCCATCCATGACCTCTGCATTTCCAGGAGATCCCAGATTCCCCGGCATATCCCAGCAATGTCTGGCCATCTCCAAAGGATGGCAGCATGGCCTGGAGCAGGCTCAGAAGTCTCCACATTCATCCCCTTCCCCAGAAGGGTTAGCTTGGTTTTCCCCCACTCTTTTATAAAGACAAGAAAAAGTCAGCTGCAGTGGCCCAGGCTGACAGCAGGGACCACAGGCTGCCCTGCCAAAGGGCGTCCAAAGGCTGGGGACAGAAATACAGACCTGGGACAGGGGGAGATGTGGAGCTGTGAACACAGGGAAATGGGGTGCAGAGGGTCAGGGGCTGGGCCAGCTGATGTCCAGCACAGGCTCCTCCATCTCCCTGTGTGATGCTGTTTGCTTGTGCCTTATCTCCTGCACTGGCACAGCGACTCTTTCCCTGGCTCCGGGCGCTCCAGTGGCAGCCGGGCCCCTTTCCAAACACAACACCCGTTGGGGCCCAGCTTTGAAAACCAACTATCCCTTCACTCCTTCTGCTGCCTGTGCGGGGCTTTTCCTTCCCAGCTAGAGAGGTGGGAATGCCAGGATGGGAAAACCCACCCAGCAAACATCAGGCTACCAGAGGAAATGCCCCTTTCCAGGGAGGTCAGGAGCCACAGGAGGAGGAAGAAAGGATGGACCCCACCTTGCCATGGAGCTGCAGCCCCACCACCATCCAGCCTCGTGGCTGCCGCACTCTCCAGAGCCTTTGAAGGCTCTTTTCTCCCGCTCCCACCACCCACCCACCGCAGGCTGGGTCAGGAGCAGGTCTGGGCACGATGTGGGGTGGTGGGGTCCCCAGCACGAGGCCACGGCCAGCCCGGCTGCTCGGGCACGGTGCCTCGCCCCGCTGCTGGCTCAGTCCTGGAGGAAGAGGGAGTTTTGCCCGTTTCGGCAGAGTTTCTCAGCGTCTCTCCGCAGGCGTGCCCACAGCCTCTCCAAGCAGAGCGCGGCTGTGGAGCCGGTCCAGCCCGTCAGACCTACAGCGTGCGGGGAGAGGAGGGGAGGACACAGCCAAGGACGCTTTGGGAACTCGTCCTCGAAACTTGGGCTCCAGGGGATGTGGCCAGAGCCACACTTGTGCTCGGTGGCAGAGCTGGGTCCAGCCGCCCGCACTGCCCAGGGCAGGAGTGGAGCAGGAAAGGTGCCCAGGCACCCCTGCACCACTGCCACCAGGGAAAGCCATCGGGTGTAACAGAGCCTGACACGATAAGGATCCTGACACGATAAGCTTTGCTCTCCAGCCAGACCAGGAACAGCACCTGGAGTACCCAAGGGTTTGGGACAAGCCTCGCTCGGTAGCAGCAGCGAAGAGGAGGACAGTCCTCCTCTGTAAGGGGGGATGCTGCCTGGCACAAAGGCACATCCAACATTATTACAAAATAACTAACAGATTGCAAAAAAGGAGCAACTTCTCCCCCAAACAACTACAGACCTGCTGGCGTTGGGAGAAGCAGAAATCCCAGCAGGTCATAAAAGGAGAGCGGATGTTTCTGCAGAGGACAGGGACACAGAGCGCCGGTGGCAACGGCTAACAAATCACAGGAGAGATATTAAACCTCACGCTTTGAGGCTTAAGCTGATACAGCTACTAGGGATTAGGAGGAAATTCAAGGGGGAGAGAAGGAGCGATTTATCCCACATCTGCCTGCTACAGTCTCACAGCACGTGGAGCAACATCGCCCTTCTCCTGCCAAACTGGATGGTGGCAGCAGCATCTGAGGGCTGGCACAGCTCTTGAGAAAACCTTAACATGCTTTGTGCTGTTGGGGTGCAGTGGTGAGAGGCTCCAACACAGGCGTGGAGATAAAGCCAAGACCAGCTTGCATTTAACGACTAGTTAGGTCATGACCCAAACACAGCCATGTCCCATGAGCCCACCCTAGTCCTTAATATCTAAGGTCTGGAAAGCACCAACATAGCTGGTGAAATGGGGCAAGTGGCTGACCGAACCTCCTCAAGGCAGCAGCTGAACCCCAGCAGGGGCTTTGCTCCCTGTCCTTGAGAGTTTCACACCAGTTTGCTCAGCTGCTGCCCTTTCTTTGTACTTTGCATACGTTTAAACAAAAACCTTCACCACTCCCTTGAGGAAGGCAAACAGTGAGTCCAGCTCCCATCGCCTTTCACAGCTCCTCCAGCCCGCACTATCACAGGGGCTCCCCCTCTCCCAGCATCACCCCGGCATCCCCCATGCCCTGTGCCTGGATCCTGCATTCAGGGATGGGGACACCCAAACTCTGCCGGACACTGTCCAGCTCCAGAAGCCGTTGTCCCAGAGGGGCAGAGGGGCTGAGGGGCCTGGCCAGAGGGGCTCTGCCTGTCACCTCCCCCGGGAGCCCCAGCCCCTCGCTGCTGGCCCTGGTGCATTGTTGGCGAGGGCAGCCGCCCAGGGACGTGATTGATCGCGGGGGAGAGAGGCCAAAGCCGTGATGGGTCGTTTAACAATTTCAATTAAACTCTGCAACGCTCCCGAGGCAGAGGGGAGGGGAGAGGGAGAAGGAAAATAAAAAGCGGGATGTTTCCATTGCCAGGGAGCCTCAGCAAAGCGCGGCTGGCCCGGCAGGAGCAGCCTGGCTCTCCCAGACCAGAACCCCCTCCCTGGCTGCAGGAGTGACCACGGCGTCGCGCCGTCCCCTTCCCGCAGGCAGGACAGCTGCCCTCGCCTGCCCTTTCCCTCCTGGCTCCTGCCCCCAAAAATCCCGTCCCTGCCCGCCCCGGCACCTCGGAACGAGAGGTGCTGTGACCCAATTGTGCGGGGAGAGGCTGCGCACGGAGAATATTAAACGTGTCCCTGAAGTTCCCGCTGCCGGGACTGGCGCTTGGATTTTGCTTACGTGCGGTGACTTTTTTAGGCACAGGAAGCCCCAGAGGGCTGATCACAGCGATCGAGCTCCCAATCCACTGAGACAGCAGAAGGACTCTTAGAGGGATTTAAAAAAATATATAATAAAAAAAAATAAAAATCAGCATCTCAGCCTGTCATATGGAAAAGGCACTTTAATGAGCAGCAAAGGCAGCAAATGCTTGGCTCACATGGCATCGGTGAGAAGAGGGAAAGGGAACCATAAGGAACGGGGAGCAGCGGTGCCCTCCATGCCAGGGATGAGCCTCCAGCACCAGGCAAGCCCCACACCAGGTCAAGCCCCACAGAGGGCTTGCAGCAGCGGCCTTGGGGGGGTAAGGGGGTTTTGGCCCCTCCTTATAAAGGAATAAAATGAAAACAAGCCGAGGGAGCTGCTGATGCCGCTGCAGCGGGGGAGTTAAACACACATGTTCACGTGGGTGCCCCATGGCTGCAGGGAGGGGAAGACTCCAGAGAGAAAACAGACAGGATTGAACTGTGAGAGAGTTACTGGAGGGTACAGGAGAAAACAAGTGTGACTTCAGCCCTCTGGGTGTGCAGGAGGAGGAGAGCCATGAGCACCCCAGCCTGCACACACTGCCTGGCCATGGGACACCAGATATGGGCACGGAGCTGCGTCAGCCAGCAGGACACTCATGTCCCAGCATTATTTATTGCCTTGGGGGTGTCCTTCAAGCCATCCACATGGACAGACTGTTCAGCTCTTGTTCAGCTCAGGGACCCTGTACAGGCACAGTCCCTGAGCAGTAGAGGCAATGGCACCCAGTACCTTCACCCAGGGAAGGGGCATCAGATGCCCCTGTTCTGGGGAGGAGGTGGCTCCCAGCCCTTCTGAAAGCCCAGCAGTTGAGATTTGCAAAGTTCTGGCCCAGTCAAAGCTTTCCAGTAGATGACCCAGGGGAGTTGATCCCCTCCTCACGTTTATAATCCTCAGCCTAACTCGGGTTTCTTTGTGCCAGTCTCTCTGCTCTGAGCTGCTCCTAAGAAGCCTCCTCCTGCCCGAGTTTCCTCTCTCCCTCCTCCGGACAGCTTATTTCCCTTCAGCTTTCCCACGCACCCCCATGAGACCCCCCAAGATGAGCAGCAGCCTTGGCAGAGGCATCCACACTCCCCCAGCCCGGGCAGCCAGGGTGCACCTTCCCCCCGCAAGACATGGCATCGAGAGCCTTTTTATTTACTTTTCCCAGTTTCCGTCTCTTGGTCTGTCAGGAGAAATGACCAGGAGCTCAGCTCTATACACAGGCTCCGTGGCAGTGGCCAGGATCTCATCCACCTTTCCACCCTCCCCATCTCCTCCAGATGCTGTGCAGCATCTGCAGGACCCCGGTGCCCTTGGGGACCCTCCCGAGCCCTCTGCTCACTCCAAGCTCTGCTTGCTGCTGACCTTTCTGAGAGCACAGGCAAGAAAACAGCCCTGCTGAAGGGTTAAACATTACCAGACTGAAATTCAAGGCTTGACGATTGGTTCCAGTCGACTGGCTGGGATGATAATTTTTCACAAGATAAATACGGCTGGGAGCGAGCAGCAACCGCTAAAGACCCTTTGTAGCAGCGTCCCCCCAAAGCGGGTCACTTCCCCCCGCCATGGCTGCTTCCCTGCACCCATCCCTGCTCAGTGGCCCACACTGCAGGGCCCCGGGCCCAAGGGGAACCCCAGCTGAGCTGTAGGATTGCTTACAGCCCAGTCATTCATCCGCACGGGCTGTGCTTGCGCTCCCGCCTCCGGCCGCAGCATAACTCGTGTGCCGGGGGCCAGAGCCAGCACTGAGACTCACACCCCGGGACTGGCAGGAGTGCCCAGCCAGGGGGAGGGAGCCCAGGGCTCTCTGCCCAGGTACTCACTGCTCTTGGACGCCTTGATCTTGGCCACCAGCTTCTGCACTCCAGGTACGTCCCCGTTCTTCACGGCCTGGATCAGCTCCTGCTCGCGCCCCATCGCAGGCAGGTGGGAGCAGCGGCAACGTAGAAACCCTCAGATCCCAGAGGTTTATAAAGCCATGGGAATAAGCCCCTAATTCCTCAAAACACACTTTGATGAGAGATGAAATCCAGGAGGAAAGACACTTTACAATCCCACAGGGCATAAAAACCAGAAAGAAGAAGTCTTTCTGTTAAGGGCAGAAGCCCCTTTCTGCATCAGGAGCAGCAGGACCCAGATGAGGTTTGGTTGGAGAACATGCAATCAGTTAAAACAAAAATTGCTTCAGTGCTCGGGGACAGGCTCCCAGCAGCACAAGAGCTCTGTGAGACAACACCAGGCAGCTCGGGGCAGGGTGTCCAGCGCTGGCAGCATTGGGATGCCCTCAGCCTCTCACAGCACTCCTGGAGCCAGAGGTGGTGTGCTTTGCTCCCTTCAGCAGGCTCTGCTGCGTTGACGAGTCCCTAATTCATCCCAAAGGGATTACGGGCTCGTTGCCATCTGGAAGTTATAGATCCTCCCTCTCTGGTGCTCATTAGCCCCTTCGTTTCGGCACTCCTCTCGGTGACGGCACTGCAGGCACGCTGGGGAGCCCCGGCACGGCAGCCCGGGACCTGCGGAGGGAAGAGCAGAGTCAGCCCCCAAAGGCCATTTACCTCCCGGCTCCGTCGCGACAGCTTTTGTATCCGTGCTGAAGAACGAATACTTTGACTATATTTAGTCCTGGAGGGACTTGGCTCATCCTTATGTTAAACGGAGAGGGAAGAACCTGTGGAGGAAACCTCCCTGTGGAGGGAGCTGCCCCCGGAGCGGGACAGGGCACAGCTCCTTCCCGGCCCTCCCGGGGCCAGACACACACCACGGCCTCCCCGAAGGCAGCACACGGGGCTCGGGGCACACATCTCCCCCTCTCCTTTCCCGGTGGCAGCACACAGGAATGGAGCTGGGAAGGTTTAGCCAAATCTCTCTGCAGCCCATGGGAGTGGGTCAGCCTGCCTCGCACTCTTCTCCTGCGCAAAGATAAACCCTCACCCTCCAAACTTCCCGGGACATGCCCTGGGACCCAAGACACTTCTTCACCAGTTCAGGAGCTCTCTCTGGCCCCAGTGAGGAGCTGGGTGTAATTCAGCAAGACAGCTGTGCTCAGAACAGGATCAAAGCCATATCCTGGCCAGCCAGGGTACCCTGGAGAGGGCATAGGGTCCTGCAGCAGCAGTTCACATGTCCCAGCCTGTGCTCCCACAGTGCACCCGGGCTGCCCGAACTGTGTGGCAAGAAAATCCTAGTTCAGGGCCGTGCATCTGGCAGGCTGCTCCGACACCGGGGAGGAGCGTGCGTGCAGGAGAGCAGGGAGCACACACCGTGCCAGCTGCGAGGCCATCGCCAGATCACCCCACAGCTTCCCCTCTGCCCATCCAGAAGGGATCAGAACCAGCTGATGGCTCGGTGGAGTCTCCCTTCCTAGAGCGCTCGCCCTCCACAGTTTATGTAACAGCGAGTGTTGCTTCCTCCAAGCAATCGAGGTCACTGTTCAGAGCATGGAAATCACAGGCGAGACAAGGCAACAGTGACAGGTCCTGTTGGGGTGGGGGCAAAACCAGAAGGAGAATCCCATGGCACAGCATTGCCCAGCTGGGAGCTGCGGCTCCGCATAAACACGGACCCCTCACGGCTTCCCCGTGTTCCTGCACTCCCCAGGGTGCAGCAGCACAGGGCAGACGAAAAGATCATCCTCCCGTACTGCCTTGGCTTCTGGAACAAGGGGCTGTGTGATTCCCACACCAGGCTGGGGGTTCTCCCCCCACCCACACTCATTCAGCTGATGAATCCCTCGGCACCGAAGCTGGTTCCCCTCGGGGTCAGCTGCCACCTCCCCTCCTCCTGGGGCACCTGCACAACCTTATCTACCTTACAGCAAAGTTTCAGCCACTTGACTCACACTAACCTCTCGCTGCAAACAAATCCCCTCCCGAAGCCTCCTGTGTCGTCGCACCGTCTTCAGAACTATTTCGTTTAACCCTGTGCACTGCATCCAACTCTGTGCTGCTCCTCAAGAGCGCTCACAAGAAGCGAACGTGAGGCGGGGAGACACTTTGTATTTGAAAAGTCTGCCCGCTCTCTTGGAAAACGGCCCCGGTGCTGCTGCCTGGGCTCCCGGCACACGCGGGGCTCAGCGGGGAGCCCGGAGGGACCGAGAGCTCCGAATGCGGACCTGCACCGCCTCAGCCTCCCCAGAGAGGAGCAGCGAAGGTAAAATTCGAGAAACGCTCAAAGCTGGAAAAGCAACAGCAAAACATCCCTCCCACACGAGCAGAGCTGAGCCTGCAGCCCAGGAATCCACCTGGAGAACCGAAGTATCCCAAACATTCCCGCAGCCAACGGCAGCGCCGGGGGGGAAAAAGGAGGGAGAAGAGGGGGAAAAAACCCCAAACAAACCCAAACCAGTTACGTAAGTGGCGGAGGAAAGATGCAAAGGAGCTGCACGCACCCGGCCGGGTCCCGAGGGGCGGTGGGGGCAGCGCGGTTCCCCCGGGAGGCTCCGGGCCCCCCTCGGTGCCCGCCCGGCCGCGCCTCCGCCTCCCCCGCCCCGAGACCCCCGCGCGGGGCGGCTCCTTCCCCCGGGAGCTCGGGGGGGGTTTCTGCCCCCACCGAGGCCAGTTGTTCCGCGGCTCCTGGGGCGAGCTGCTCCGCCGGCCTCACTCACCTGGCGGCGCTCCCAGCCCGCCGCACCGGGGCGAACCGAACCGCGCCGGAGCGAACCGACGGCACCGCCGCGGAGCCGCCCGCGCCGTGCGGAGCCGCTCCGGAGCGCGGGGCACCGAGAAGCGCCGAGCCCGGCCCGGCCCGGCCGCAACTTCCCGAGCCGCGCGGGGCGGGAGCGGGGCCGGTACCGGAGCGCAGCCGCGGGTCCCGGCTCGCAGGCGGCGCGGCACTCGGCAAAGTCCCGCTCGGGCCGGCCCCGTCCCGGCAGGAAATCCCTCCCCGGCCCGGCCTGATTGGAAAAGCCCGGCGGGTTGTGCGGCGGGGCCGGGCCGGGGCGGCTGTCACTCACCGTGATGCGGCGTCGAGCGGGGCAGGGGCCGCGCCGCCCATCCCGCCGCACCGGCACCGCTCCGCCCCCGCTCGGGGCTGCCCCGCGCTCCCGGGCACCGGCTCGCTTTGAACGGGGTCCGGCTGGACGCGCAGCGCGGGCCGGGACCGGCGATGGGGAGCGGCACCGGCGTGGAACGCGACCGACCCTGTGCTCCGGGACCGCCGGGGTTCGGGACCGAGCTGGTGGGAGATTCCCCATTCCCGATGCAGGACCGAGCCAGTGGTTCGAGACGGGCTCCCTTGGGAATCCTCCATCCTCCTCAGTCCCGCTCCGAGCCGGTGTTCTGGGCTGGCATCGTACGGGACCGACGCAGTGCTTGATCCGGGATTGGTCCGGTGCTACAGGACGGGCCTGGGAGAGAGGTCCCCCATCGTGGATCCAGGAGCCACACGGTGCTCTGGGAACCAGCGCTCCCCCCTTTCAGCCCCTGCCCTCCCCCTCAGCCCTTTGCCCGGCCCCTTTGGCAGGGGGGCTGCATAATGCCACTGACGGCACCCATGGGGACAAAATCCACCGATCCCCAGCTGTCCAAGCCCCAAATTAATCCTACTCTCACAAAGCACTAAAACCACCAAAAATCACCCATTTCTGCCAATCTTCAGCAGAAGCAGCAGAGGCAAGTGCTCCCTCGAGCACAGTTATTTTAAAACAAGAGATTGCCTAATAAAGCTGGACAGTTTTTGTTGCATGATACCGCTGGATTATCATCAACTAATCAGATTAAAAACACACGGAGGCTTTGGTTTTATTCACTAAATGGCCAGCCCACGGCTCCCTGGGGGAGTTGCAATGATCCCACACCTCTTCAACCCAGGCCCCCGAGACGTTTCACCAACTGATGGTTTCATGAGCAACCCCAATGAGGGGGATCCTTGGCAAGGAGGGGGGACTGACGTCTCCTGACACACCCTGTCTTTTCAGCTCGGGAATAAAGAGATTATTATGCACATCTAATTATAAATGTCAACATTTTATGGCTGCTATGCTGAAGCACGAAGCCCTAAGTAGCCCTGCTAGAAAAGGCTGTGAAGTGAAAGGTCTTGTTATTCCTCCTCTGAGTTTTTCCAGAGCTTGTAAAGCGCAGTGACATTTATAATAATCCCCTGAATTTATATGGCACCTTTAGTCCTTCTAAGGATCTTAATTAAGCTTTGCAGCTCCCTGAGCAGAGTAAACGCACTTTGCAAAAGAGGAGCCCAGGTCCTGTTTGGTACAAAATGTGTGTCCCATTTCAGGCAGGGGAAGGACTTTTTCACCCCAACGAGCTTCAGCACACGCTGTTACACCACAGTGAGGGCACAGCACCCTGACATCCCCAGCCAAAGGCTGTGCTGCTGCAGCTGGGTAATTCAAACTTTAATCTCAGGCGTCGCACAAGCCTTTTCAATGGAGGGTGTCATTGGAGGGGTTTGCTAGAAATCAACAATTTCTAGTGCAGCCTTCAAACATTTGACCACATATTGGCAGTCCTGGCACTGCACCAGTGCCTTCCCTCCATGGCCCTGCCTGCAGGGAGTGCAGCTGGGAGGAGCAGGCAGCAGCCCCATTTCCCCCATGAATCCCAGTTTTCCAGCCACCCTTGAAGGTGGAACAGCTGGTTGGTGACACCAGCACAAAGAGCTGCCGGTGCCTTCAGCCGTGCCCACCTTGCAGAGCTGACAGACCCCCCATGGCATTTATTCCCCTGTGCCTGCGGGTGTGACAGCATCGACTGAGTTCTGACCGCAGAGAAAGTCCCTTAACAATTCACCCCCTTCCATGCACCGGTTCAAGATGTTTTAGAGTCTAGGGGGTTTCCAGGTGCAGGCGCGGTTGTGTGGGCAGCTCTGCCCGCAGCCTCTGCAGAAAGGTGCCCAAGGCAGCGCTGACTTGTGTTCCCCACTTGGTGTGAGGGGCTGGGGGCTCCAGCCGGGCCGGGCTGCTCAGCCCTGCGGGGCCCCGGCTCCTCTTGCAGCTCCTCAGGTCGATGTTGCCATCTAGAGGTCCCTGCTACGGCGATCGCCTCCTTGTAAGGTACTGGGAAGGAGGTTGTTGGGGTTTTTTCAAATTCAATGCAACAATTCAAAGCAGTTTTATTAGGCTAGCCCATGTCTTGGGTGGCTGCAGCTCATCCTGGCTTGTCTCACAGCCCCTGCAGCTGTGCAAACCCTTCCTCTCTATTCTGGCATTATTTTGAGATGGGGTAAAACACTCAAAGCTGTGCATTTGCTGCCTGCCGTGGAAGCAGCCACGCTGGCAGAAGCAATACACACAGTGGTGTCCACAGCAGCTTCATGGCCAGCGCTGGCTCCAGGTGAGGCTGTGATAAACACGGCTCCAAATTTTGGAGTGCAAGACTCCCAGTCCCAAATGTCACCCATGAAAACCAAACTTGGAAGTTCATGCATGGCCATTTCACCCTCTCTGCATGGGCAGGAGATCTGCAAAGGCCCATACCAGACGTCCAAAACATTTAAAGT